TCTTTTGGTTTTGTTGACTGTTTCTTTTGCTTTGAACACACTATCTTAATAAATCTGCTCACTCGTGATGGTATCATGAAAGCCATAACTAATAAACTAATAGTATGTCAGTACACTAATAATGCCAACATAATAATAGACTATATCTAGGACACGTAAGAAACAATGACTGTCCCTGTAAAGGGAAATGGGGACCAAGAGTCGTCAGTAGGCAAAGAAAATTCTTTTGCTTTTGAATTTATCATGTGCACGTACTATTTAAAAATAAACATAATTTTTACATAAAATATTAGTTGCTTCCACATAGACTGTCTCTGAAAGATACACAAGATACTGCCAACAGTAGTTGCTTTCAGAAAAGTGAAGTGAGTGACTGGGGGACAGGGGTGAAAGGTAGACCTCACTCCATGCCTTTTTTACACCTTTTGAATTGGTGACATGTGAATATATTAAACTCCAATAAGTAACTTTTTCAAAGTAGCATGTACTGTCCTAAGAAATTCTCTCTATTTTTTAATTATAGCTTACTTGTATTTCAAACTGATCCCGTAAACCTAACACAAGAAGCAAAGGTTCAAGGCAGAAATCATGAAGACACATAAAATTATTTCCCCACACCATTTTCCAACAAAATTTAAAACTGCATAGGGAGGAAAAATACTTTGTAATGTAATCTATAAAATCTGTGTTAACAGCTATGAACTGGGAAGAGATTTTTTAAAACTTTTAAGTCAGGACTTTTCATCCTCTTTCTCAGACACCATTTTAGCTTTGGGATATAGTAAAAAATGTTTTTGAAGAGACTTAATATTCTATACTACTAAGGAAGAAAACATTACTTGCTATCAATTATGTAAAGCAAAGATATTCACTTGTCTTTCTATGACTAAATATAAAATATCCTCAAAAGCTTTCAGTATGACTTTATTAACCCAAATTACAATGGGATTTGGTATTTAGATAATTCTACTGTAATTCCTCCCAAACCAATAAAAATAATGAAATTTAACAGTTAGAAAAGGTTTACAGGATAATTTAATTCAGTCCCTCATTTCCAGATATAGCAATCCCAGAAAGTTTAAACTCAAACTCACAACCAATATATGGGAAAAAAACATAATTAGATCCCGGATGTTCTGCTTCTGCAACCAGTACGCTTTCAAGTCATGCCACTAAGAGGATGTAAAGTAACTGAAAATATTCTTCAAATTTCTTTCTTGGGTCTATGTTTGTTAGTTTGTTTTTTAAGATTTATTTGAGAGAGCGCGTGCAAGGGAGGAGGGGCAGAGGGAGAGAGTAGACCTGAAGCAGACTCCCCACTGAGCAAAGAGCCAGACCCAAGGCCCTATCTCAGGACCCTGAGATCATGACCTGAGCCGAAATCAAGAGTCGGACAGTTAACCAAAGAAATCAAGAGTTGGACACAACCCACTGAGCCACCCAGGTGCCCCAGCTCTATGGTTCAAATAAGTTATTTGTGATAGTGATCAGAAATGCTACTTAATAAAGGAAAACAAGGAATAAGTCTTTAAAAGTATTTTAATTAATATAATCTCTTGAGATCAATAACATATTGTAAGTTTTCTGGGGTAAGAGTGTATTCCTAAATAAGGCACTGCTGGCAAAAGGGTAAAGAGTCATTTCATTTTAAAATAAATGCCAAAAAATCAACTTTACAAAATAACTTTATCACTGCGAATCATTTTTAATTAGAAATACAGACAACAAAATTAAAAAAAATAGAAAAACAGACAACATACAAGCATCAAATTGTATTCTTATTCACCAACATGAGCACACCTCCAAACAAATTAATACAAGGGCAGATACATAAATATATACAAATAAAGGAACGTACCCAAATAACAAGCTACAGATTCACCTGCTATTTCCTGAGACCAAAATCTTCACATAAATATGCTGGCAAATACAGCAAAATATCAATATAAAGGAAAGCATATATACATATATGCATAAATACCAGAATATAAAGTGACATGTAGATATATAACATACGTGCTTATGTACATCTACATAAACACCTAGTTCAGTTGGAAATAACACAGACAGAAAACAAATGGTGATCTACAAAACAAGCAGTAATACTGTAACCTTTTCACTACTGGTGAAAACTCAACAGTCACAATAAATTTGAGTTTAATATAATGCTCACACTTTAAATGATGGAAACAGAAAAAGATGCCAGACCCTAAAGCCACTCCTGCTGACACTGAGTTCCTCATTAAGTTGAAAATGTAATAGCACACAAAGGTTGGTGATCTCATTCTAACTAGAATAAAGATTATGTGCTAAACGAGATCACTAAGAGTGAACAGAGAAATACTCTGTAAAGTGAGCTAAATTCTTTTTACTTTAAAGGCCCTGCTAGAGATTTGCTGCTGCTCTAATTCATGACTTGGAGAGGCAAAACTAAAAAAGCTGTTGCTGGGTTCAGGTGCTCTGGGAGAACCCACAAAAAACGGTCTGAAGTGAAGATCTCCATCTCCACCACCCCGATTTCGAACTGGTGTACTGTCCAAAGGAAACTTGGAGTTGTTCCCTAGGAAAAAAAAAAGGGAAAAACTTAAGAATCTATTTCCTCACAGATCTTTAGGAACAAAAACACAAAATTACTTAATAAATATTTTAAAAGAACTCAACTCCTATGAGACAGTAAAATATAAACCTAACGTTGGATAAAGAAAAGGGCTATGATGGCTCCCACTCCCTCCTACGACCACAGTACATACCATACCTTCTGCTGTGACGCAGTTTCCAATAGCCATGACCTCATCGCCAAAAGTAATTTGACACAATGAAATATGTTTTTAGTAAAGCTAGAACTTACAATTCATAATTTTATTCATTATCCAGGTAATCTACTTCAAAGGAATATTGTGTGTGTATAAAACCTTTTATCCCAGGTTCTTTAAGAATAATTTTTCTTTTAAAGATTGCCATAAACACTCTAGAAAATATATGACAACTATGAAAAACTGGCATATACTCATGATCCAAGACCAATTAGAATAACCTTAAGAAAAATCAGACAATAAATCTGATTAAATAAGCATTTAACAACTTCCACCGAGCCATTCTTTGGCTTCTACAAGTTTTAAAGGGAACATGTAACTAAAGGAGAATGCAGACCATACCTGCTTCAAGCCAACAACTGTAGCAAGAGGTGAAAGTAAAAAGGTAAGTGTACATAAAAAGTGGAACAGGAAAGAACTAGTGAATATGAAAGAAATCAAAATAAATGTGGATCATAACAAGGAAAAAATATCTACAATGTTAATATACAATAACACTTTGATTGACTAAATTATAATTATGACTAACTGAAAGTTAAGCAAAAACTTGTTTTTGTTTCAATTCTTCTATCTGATACACCTCATTACTTCCTGCCCTTTCTAGGACATCTCCTCCCCCGCTAAATCTTTTCCCTCAGCCTATAATTCAAAAAAATATATATTTAGGAAAATCAAGCACAAGAAACCTCACTTTTTCATATGCGAAAAATAATTTTTATTAATAGCATAGCAAAAATCTATTGGATTCTGTTATATTAAGAGTAGTATAAAGAGGAGAACTCAGGAAGAGATATGAGATTCATTGCATCTGCCAAAGCACCTAGAGAGCAAAAAAGAACTGGTAGCTTGCTAGATTATGCACTTCCAGAAGGCAGGAATCTTATCTGGAGAATCCTTATATTCTCATTGCCTAGGATTATGTCTAGCAGCCTAGCACATGAAATATGTTTGATAAATATTTGATAAATGAACAAAAGTGAACCAACCAAACAACCAACAATAACTTAAGAACTGTACAATCAGTATTGCCATGTGAAAGAAACTGAACATGGCCTTCTTGAGGAAGGAGATGGTTGTGTGGGCTCTGAAGATAGTTTTGTGACCTTGACCAATTTACTTAAACTTTCCGTGCCTTAGTTTTCTCATCTGTAAAATAAGGATAATAATAACTACATCAAAAGTTTTGAAAAATAACAGGAATACGTGTAAAATTGTAACAGTGCCTAGCACTTAGTAAGGAATCAACAAATGGCAGCTAATACTATTATTATTACCCCAAGGAAGTAGCTTTTCACTTAAAGTACCAATTTGCAAACTTTTATTTTGGAAAGATTTATTCTCTGTTTACATTGAAGATGTAACTTAACCACAAGCAAATAAAATAGATAAAAGCAAAAATGTACATGTTGAGAAATGGATGAAGAATCTGGAGCCTACACCACTCTAGTAGGCCTTTGGAGTCTCCACTCACTTCCTGGAACTGTGCAGAACACAATGTGAAAGATTTAAAGAACAGTTTTTGGATATTACATGTCCCTTCTTACCTAATGGAAAGCCAAAAACACCAGATTGTGCAATCATGGATGGTTCAAGGGTACTTTCTTGGTTAGCAATAGTGATGTTTCGCAGCCTAAGGCTATCATAGAGGCCTTGGAGCTTTTGATACTGACGATTTCGCTCCATAAGTTTCTCAGAGATGTCACTGAACTTTTTCTTATATTCTTCTAGCACTTTCTTCATGGAGGTGACCTCCCCCTTCATAGAGGTCAATTCTACATCCTTACTCTGTATTTGCTGAGTATATATCTTCTCCATCTGTTTCAGATGGCCCTCAGCCTTGCTGAAATTATATTCTTGATAGAGACGCTCCTGATGTACCTGTCCCCAAAAAAAGATTTTTAAGTTATATATTGTAAAACTTTAAATGCAAAAGAAAAAGAAAGACTTACACTGGGATGTTATTAATTTAACATTTAGAACCAGGTTAAGCAAACTAGATGTACAGTAGGATGGTTATTATAGAAAATAATACACTGTGTCACTAACTGCATAGGAAAAAATTCTGGAGGAACACTTTCAAACTGATACCATTATACTAACAAAAGAAGTATTTGTCTAACCTTAACAAGTGACATGGAGTCTTAAGGTTTTTAAGAAATAATTTCATATTTCAAGTAATCCACACTGTGGAGAACAGATTGTAAGGTAGCCTCCAATTGTCCCTGCCTCCTTGTACTTAGATCCTCCCCTTGAATGTGGACAGAAACTGTGACTAGAATACAGGAAAAATGACAGGATGCTGCTTCATGAGTACATTACATAAGACTATAAAGTCTGCCTTAGTAGCACATTCTCTCTCTTGCTGGCTTTGTAGAAGCAAGTAGCCATGTTGCAAAGGGCAACAAGGCAAGTAACTGAGAGCAGCTTTGGGGCAATAGCCAGCAGAATACTGAGGTCACTTTGAATCTAAACATAGACTGTACAACCTTCACCAAAATTAACTCAATATGAATCACAGACCTAAATGTAAACATAAAACTATAAGATTCCTATAAGATAACAGAGGAGCAAATCTAAACGATCTCTGGTTTGATGGTGACTTTTTAGATACAACACCAGCAAGCACAATCTACAAAAGAAAGACTTGATAAGCTAGACTTCATTAAAATTAAAAATTTCTGCTCTGCAAAAGACAATGTCAAGAGAATGAAAAGACAAGCCATAGACTGAGAGAAAATATTTGTGGGGCGCCTGGGTGGCTCAGTCGTTAAGCGACTGCCTTCGGCTCGGGTCATGGTCCCAGGGTCCTGGGATCAAGCCCCGCATCAGGCTCCTTGCTCAGGCTCCTTGCTCAGAGGGAAGCCTGCTTCTCCCTCTCCTACTCCTCCTGCTTGTGTTCCCTCTCTCACTGTGTCTCTCTCTGTCAAATAAATAAAATCTTTAAAAAAAAAAATTGTAAAAGACGTATCTCATAAAAGACTGTTATCCAAAACATACAAAGAACTCTTAGAACTCAACAATAAAAAAAGGCGAATTTAAAAATCATACTAATAAAAGATAACTGAAAAAAAGAGAAAATTTCTTATAACATCTGAGTTAAATACATAGAGAATTCTTAATAAATCAGTAAGAAAAAAAACCTACGGCAATTGAAATAAGCAAATTGAAACAGGCAATTCATAAAAGAAAAATACATGAAAAAATACAAGAAAATGTTTTCATCTAAAAGTCATCCAAGAAAGGCATATTTAAAGAATAATGAGATTCTCGGAGGGGGAGACAAACCATGAGAGACTATGTACTCTGAAAAACAAACTGAGGGTTCTAGAGGGGACGGGGGTGGGGGGATGGGTTAGCCTGGTGATGGGTATTAAAGAGGGCACGTTCTGCATGGAGCACTGGGTGTTATATGCAAACAATGAATCATGGAACACTACATCAAAAACTAATGATATAATGTATGGTGATTAACATAACATAATTAAAAAAAAAGAATAATGAGATTCTACTTTACTCATATCTAATTGGTGAGTAGAAAGTATGGAGAATCAAGCACTTTCATACACTTAAGGGAACACAAAATGATAGGCCCCAGGCCTAACTGGAGGGCAATTTTAAAATACTGCAATTTTGGGGGCACCTGGCTGGCTCAAAGCATGCAATTCTTGATCTTGGGGTTGTGAGTTCAAGCCCCACATTGGGTATAGAAATTACATAAAATGAAATCTTTAAAAAATAAATAAAAAATAAAATACTGCAACTTTTATTTATTTATTTTTTTTTTTCAGAGAGAGAGAGAAGAGCACACAGGGGAGGGGCAGAGGGAGAGGGAGAGAGACAATCTTAAGCAGGCTCCACACTCAGCTTGGAGCCGGACTTGGGGCTTGATCTCACAATCCTGAGACCATGACCTGAGCTGAAATCAAGAGTCGGATGCTTAACTGACTGAGCCACCAGGCATCCCAAAATACTGCAATTTTTACAACTTTGAAATATATTCATCCATTTTCAGGAATTTAATCTTAGCAACTTTTTCTATAGCTTGAAAATAAATTATGATACAATTATTAAAATTATGATTATAGAATAGCTAATTGAAAAATATGTAATAAAATATTCATAATAAGCATAATGTCAGCTTTAACTGATGTTACTCTTACTTTCAGACAAAATATATATTTATACACAGAAAAAGTCCAGAAATACCAACAATGATCTCTAAGTTATGGAATTATAGTTCATTTTTTATTTTCTTTCTTTTGGATTTCCAAAAATAAAACTATTTCTTTAACAACAACAACAAAAAACATTTATTGGGATGCCTAGGTGGCTCAGTCAGTTGAGCGTCTGCCTTTGGCTCAGGTCATGATCCTATGGTCCTAGGATCCAATCCCAAATTGGGCTCCCTGCTTGGCAGGGAGTCTGCTTCTCCCTCTGCCCCTCCTCACTGCTTGTGCGCTCTCTCTCTCTCACACACACTCTCTCTCATGCTCTCTCAAATAATTAAATAAATAAATAAATCTTTTAAAAAAATTATTAAAAAGAATGTTTTCTATGTATTCGTAAAAAATGAGGGACGCTTGGGTGGCTCAGTCGGTCAAGCGTCTGCCTTCATCTCAGGTCATGATGCCAGGGTCCTGGGATCAAGTCCTGCATTGGGCTCCTTACTCAGCAGGGAGCCTGCTTCTCCCTCTGCCTGCCACTCCCCCTGCTTGTGTGCTCTCTCTCTCTCTCTCCGACAAATAAAAATAAAATCTTGAAAAAAAATGAATACAAACACAATGAAGGAAAAACATTAGAAGCTTCCACATATGCCTCAAATCATACTCTCCAGAAAAACTAGCCTAAGCACTAACCTGATACGTCCAGAAGGCCAGGGCACGAGAGCTAATGTCCAACACAATCTCTGGTCGAAGTCCTGCCAATACCATGGCTTTATATTCCTCTGATGGACTGAGTTCTGTGCGGACAATGTCTAGCTTTCCAGAAAGGGTACTATTGCAGGCAGGGCAGATAGCTGGTGAACGACTAAACTCACCACTGCCATGCTGATCACAGAAGATGTGAGAGCAGGCAGTGACCCACGCATAACCAGAGAGTTTGAGGCGACATTTGCGATAATTACAAAGCAGCATGTCTTCACACAAAGACATAACAGAGAGTGAAGTCTCCAGATGCTGAAAAGAATCCTAATAAGGGGTAAATGAAAAGGTCAAATAAGTCATATTTCAATGAAAATGAAATAGAGCATGTTTTCATTTTATTATGATAAAATAATATATTTTATTGTTTGTATTTATTATAATCAACATATTATAGATTTCAGTCACTCAACAATATTAACTGTGCTCGCTTGTATAAACCCCTAAAAAGCCCATGAAAAAAATTTCTAAAGAAAAAATTAAAGACACAAGTGGTCCAAATCTTACTAAAGCCAAAAATAATATGTACATGGAAAATAAAGTTTAGGAACATTTACAAAGTACAAATAAAAATTAATTAGTGCCTTTTGCCATTCCTCAATACCTAAACAAAAAAGCCAAATTTACTACCATCCATAGTTTGCTAGAATATTTTAGTACCACTTCTCACACTTGGCAGATATAAGTCCAGGCACCAATTTCAGCCATTCTTCAGTGAAAAGTGTCTTATAAGTTACTTTTTAGGTTTTTCATATACACCGATTTCTCAGATTCTTTACCTGTGTTGCCTTACCTAAAAAACAGTAGTAATCTGATAGTATTAAATGGAAAATAATTTAATTCATCCAAGCAAATGACCATTATGAAACCTGAAAATCTGTACAAAAGCTGATTTATTTTATCATCAAATAATTCACCTATTAATATAAATACTATTGAACGCTATACTGTCAGTAAAAGTTTGTAAAACTAAATAAATACTTTTAAGTAAATAAATACTCTTAAGTTACTTTTCAATATAGTGTCCACTCTCACTACTTTTACTAACCCAGACTGGACAGCAATATTCTGGATATACCAAAATCATATATTGTATGAAATAACTGTGACACACCAATTATACACCAAGGAAAATATTCATATTTAACACATTTATTAACCAACAAATTCTGTCAAGAATGTTGCCTTGATTAAAAAAAAATGTTGGGGCTCCTGGGTGGCTCAGTCGTTGAGCGTCTGCCTTCGGCTCAGGTCATGACCCCACAGTCCTGGGATCGAGCCCCACATCGGGCTCCCTGCTCCGCGGGAAGCCTGCTTCTCCCTCTCTGCTGCTCCCCCTGCTTGTGTTCCCTCTCTCGCTGTCTCTCTCTGTCAAATAAATAAATTTTTAAAAAAAAATGTTGCCACAGGGGTCCAGGAGGACGCTCTGACATCTTTACCCCAAAGTACCCACTGAGTTAGTCTCCAAGGGTAAATGGCACTTTGCAGCAGGAGTTATAAGGCCTTATTTTACCTCCAGCAGGATAATAGGCATAGGAGAAGCAGAAGAGCTGGGAAGTTTTAAAGCTGAGAACCTTCTTAGGCAGAGCGGGAGGTGCAGCTAATTCCAAACGACTGGGGGTAAAGAGCCAATTCGGTGAATTGTCTGTCCCAAGTTACCGAGGGCCAAGTTTTTGGGAATTAGACTCACGGAAACTTCACTCTGGAGTTCTTGGCCTGCTTTCTGCACTCTACAGAGAAGATAACAATAATAATACAAATAAAATAACTAACCTGAGGCGCCCAGAAAAAGCGCGGGAAAACGCCGTTGTCTCCACAACTCTAGCACTACGCTAGCGAGGATTCGCAGTGCCTCTCCAGTAAGACACAGAAACGCATGCGCAGGGTGGCCCTGGAGCCTGCCGGGTGGTGGGCACAGGGCTTCCGGCCGCTCAGGATCCTGGGACCTGTCAGGCTGTGGCACCTGGACTCAGGCGCATATCCCCACGCACGCGCGTCTCAGGCGCTGTGAGGGCGTGAATCCCACAGAGCATGGTCCAGGTTTCCCACTTGGGAGCCCCACAGATACTGTCATGGAGTGCTCTTTACTGCCCTCAACTGGCACAAAAGTAACATCCTAGGCTATCCTGGGTATAACATTCGAGGTCAGAGTCTCCTGAGTAAGAGCAGGACGGAGAGTGGGACAGTTGAGAAGCTAACAGGGCCGGCTTGTGCCCCTACCTAAGTACACGCAGGTATTGTGTTTGTCCTGGGAACTCTTGGGGAGGACCGGCTGGGCAGCGCAGACTTGCTAAACGGTTTCAGGAAAAAGTCCCAGAAATTTGAGATACCTGTAATTGGATAGCTACCACCTCCATGTTGAGGTAGATTCTGCCATTTTATTTTTCTAATCCATTTTGATAAAGACATCTTTCTAGCTTTTACACATCCTCTATATACACTGAAAGAAAATAGAACTTTGTCTTGGTTTAGAATCTGTGTTACGAACATTCATTACAACGCCTGTAATGAAGCGAGAGGATCGATCGGGTGTCAGCTTTTTTGAGGTGCTCTGCCTGTGTGTTCTCCTGGACCTACTTGTAATTGTTTAAATGTTTGTGCCTGTTTTACCCTAATGCTCTTACCTGTCACTTTCTTTTCTGTTCTTTGTAAACTGTGTGATTTTCTGCTCAATCTAGAGGAGTCTGTTAGAATCATATTAGAAACTAAGCTGAGGAGGCCTTGAGGGGTCCTTGGAATACAAGCCTTAATGCTGTCTTTTGTGGCCGGCCACCTGTCCACGTGTGACCCCATTGTGAATTAGTAACAGATACAACCCAATGAATCAGCAACACAATGGACACCAAGGCCCCGCAAACCCCTTTCTGGGTAGTGAATCTCTAATACTAACCCATTCTTCTTCAAACAAAAACCTATCCTAACTAAACTTTCTGCTAGTTTTCTGTCTACTTGCAGCTTGTTCACAGTAATTAGAAAGGGTCTCTTGACCTTTGTATACATTTCCTAAAATGTCTTTAGAGTTTAGAGTGGTAACTTAATTCCAGTGGTACAAATTGGATTCAAACAAAGTTGGGGGTTCATGTGTAAACCCCTAACATCTATTTTGGCTATCTGAGCCTTTTGTGCATTTTCTGAATTTAACAATGGCAAATGTAGTACAACAAAGGAGTACAATCTCAAAGTTAGAAAACACAAAGCATTCAAATTCAGCCAGTACCTAACTTTGTGATCTAACTTAAACCTTTGTACTGCAATATGATCTCTTCCTGCTTCATCATTAAGACCACTGATTCCCCAAACCTTAGTGTTCCCCACACGATTTTCCCACCAAATCAGTTTCAAATTTCCAACCCATTTGGCTAAAAGCCTGTAGGAGTAACATATATACATATATATATGTATATGTATGTATACTTTTTTTTTTTTTTGCCAACACGTTTTGCCAGATAGAATAAAAGGGAGCAGGGTGCTACAAAGTCTTAATATCCCATTAATCTGGAACACCAGGAACTGAACTAACCTGCTTTTCAGTGGCACTGTGTCCTCTCCTGTTATGGCATAAACAAACCCTTCACTGGCTCTTTTCTAGAGTGCTCCTGGGGATGAGATTACTGAAAACAATCAAGGCTGAGATACAAAGATCCATCCACCAAAAAGAACTTTTTTTTAATTTTGGTTTTTATTATTAAATATCAAGCATACAAAAAATGTGTGAAGAATGACCATCACTCAGCTTTAATAAACTGAAATCCTTCTCACATATGATATTTTTTTAATGAAGTAACACATTACAAATACAGCTGAAGCCTCCTGATTTTCCTCCTTCCTCTCCAGAGGTAAACAAGCCAGATTTTGGTATTTATCACTCTCATGCATGCTTTTATATTTTTAGTATATATGTATACCTCAATCTTGTTTTGCATGTCCTAAAACTACTAAACCTTATCACATAGCACCTATCAATACACCATTTCATTAACCTATTTTTGAGATGTAGTCAAGTTAATACACCTATCTTGCACTAATTCACTTTAACAGCCAAATACTACAAATACACCACAATTTATCCATTCTTCTAAAGGACATTTCTTCCAGGTTTTTATAATTAAAATCAATACTGCAATAAACTTTCTGTACATGTCTCCTTGAGTACACATGACAAGAATTCTTATAAAATATAATACCTAGAGACTGGGTTCGTGCATAAGCAACTTCAAATAAATTTCACTGCCACCAGCAAAGATGAGATCACATTGCTTTACACTCAGCAACATGTGCAAGTGTCAATTTTTTGTTTTGTTTTGTTTTCATTTTTGCCCTTATGATGGCAGTGAAATGGTATCTGAATGTTGTTTTAATGTGCAATTCTTTGATTACTAGTAAGATTAAGCATCTTTTCAGGTGAATGACTACTCAGGGATTCTCATCAGTGAATTAACTCTTTCAGATCCTTTGATCATTTTCTAGATTTATATGGAGTCTTTTGTTGGTTACATGGCATGCAAACCTAAGTTTGAATTTTAGTATACACAAATTTATCAATCTTTCCTTTTTGTGTTTATGTCTATTCCAATGTCATCATATTCCTTGTTTTTCTATAGGTTTAAGGTTTTGCTTTTCATTTATAGATCTTTAATCCATTCTTCCTAATGTAAGGGTCTGAATAAAATCTGACTGTACAATTTGTGCTTACATGTCACTTATACCATTTAATTACAGGTTATTTTCACCTTTCAAAAATGATTTTTTAATCATAAAGTTTAATATTGATCTTATGTAGATATTCTAAGTACCTATCAGTTATATTATTTATATACCACATTTCTCTAAGAATTTCAAGATAGCAATTTCTCCTATTATCATTGAATCTTAGAATGTTAGCATGATCTAGGGACGCCTGGGTGGCTCAGTCATTAAGCGTCTGCCTTCGGCTCAGGTCATGATCCCAGGGTCCTGGGATTGAGCCCCACATCGGGCTCCAAGCTCGATGGGAAGCCTGCTTCTCCCTCTCCCACTCCCCCTGCTTGTGTTCCCTCTCTCACTGTCTCTCTCTCTCTCTCTCTGTCAAATAAATAAATAAATAAAATATTTAAATAAATAAATGTCTTGCTGAAATGCCATTAAAATAGTTGCCATTTTCCAGGGACTTAAAAAAAAAAAATTAATGGAGGTTTCAATTCACTTCACATATTTTTGAGTATCTATTCTGGGCCAGGCATTACAGATAAGGAAGTTTTCCTGCTTTCATGGAGTTTACAATCTAGCAAAGAATCTAAGAATGATAAAAGCAAATATTTTACTCCTTCCTTTGGTGCCTCTTACATTTTTGCAAGTTGATTCTATAAACCATTTGTGGTGCGAAAAGTCAGCTTCCATCTTTAATTTGAAGAATCATCTACCTTCATGCTGGAAAGAAAAAGACATTTTTAATACTACCTTGAAATGTATAAACAGCTACTCAGTAGAAAATTGATCAGGAGAAACTCATCAGTAGAAAACTGATTAAACCACTTGAAATTTAATGACTTCAGAGTATAATGTTTCAGTAACTCTCAGAATCAGTTTACTAGACCTCCTTCTTTCATAGTCCTAGGTCAGTGCTATTCAAATACTTTTGTAGTCCAAAGGGGTTTCTAAAAACTATATCCTCATGTTTTCATATTAGTTTTATTTTTCAGTCACAGGTACATTCTTATCTAGATTCGCCACCTGCTTTGTAATTGTATGACTCCGCAAAAATCAGAAGACACTAACGGATGGCCAACCCATCCAAATGGTGCCCTGAGTGAAGACAAGTCAGCTTTGATATATGATGGACTAAAATCCCACCACCTAAGGCTCCAAGCAGTGAGAGGAACAGCCATCAAAATTTATCTCCAACCATTTTAATAAATGCTTTAAGGAACATTTATAAAAATAAAGCTATCAAGTCACTCTTTTTTTTTCTAAGATTTTATTTATTTGAGAGAGAAAGAATGAGAGAGAGAGAGCATGGGGGTGGAGGGTCAGAGGGAGAAGCAGACTCCCCACTGAGCAGGGAGCCCGACATGGGTCTCAATCCCATCATGACCTGAGCCGAAGGCAGACGCTTAATGACTGAGCCACCCAGGCGCCCTCAAGTCACTCTTAATAGGAATCACTACATCTAAATTTTTAAGTCAACTAAGAGCTAGAAGAACCAGCTAGAGAGACAAAACCAGCTAGAGAGACAAAATGAGGAATAAGATGATAAATAAATTGATGCCAAAACAAGATCAATCAACTAAAGAAAAAGTTACTGGAACAGTTATATAGAGATACACAATATAGTCCTTATCACCATAGTTTGCCTAATTCTAGAACTAAATTAGGCTTTGTGTGCTGGAGATAAACATAATGAGGTATAGGCCAATTGGCATAAAGATGCATATAAGCAAAAACTGCACAGGGACTTTGATGATAAAACAGCTTACATCTTTTGAGCGATTACCATATGCTTAAACAATGTTCTAGGCCCATGCACTTATTATCTAATCTTCAAAGTCAAATCCTATTCTTTTGAATCCAGTACTATTATTCTCATCTTCTAAGATATAAGGACACTAAGACACTGAGCTGTTAAGAAACTTGCTAAGGTTACATAGCTGATTAAGTGACAAAGGATGGGTTTGAACCCAGTCTGACTCCAGAATCCATGTATAACTATTATACTAAGCAACCTTTCAACATCTTTAATTGCCTTTTTTAAAAAATAAAAATTTTTGTAGCAACTTAGCAGCTGGCCATGAAACCATAAAGCCGAATTTTCAAAGATTCATATGTATATCAAAGCTTCTCAATTTCAACATAAGCCTTACC